TGTGTGTGTGTGTGTGTGTGTGTGTGTGTGTGTGTGTGTGTGTGTGTACAGTTTAAGACCATGTAAATGCAGATTGGATTTTAATTTTCTGCTAATTTCAAAAACAAAAATCAACTTAAATAGTAAATATAGCAGTTTGAGGTAAAAAAGTGTTAAATAAGTGCATATTTTATTAGAAGCAAAACATGACCAAAACACATTTAAAGAACTTTGAAATTTTTGATCTATAACAAAATAATATTACCCAAATTAGACCTAAAAGGATTTATAATATGGGAGTAAAATAATAAAGTAAGGAGCAAAACAGCATTTAAAAACACTTGTCTTGATTTATATCAGTTCTAAAACTCTATTAGAGAGATTACTCACCATCAATTTATGGAAAATGTTGAATTGATTAACAATAAATGACATTTTAAACAATAACAATTTAGAAACATAATAGGATAATAATGACAACAATACTTGGTTTTCTTTGAATAAAAAGCTTAGCATTTCTTGAAGAAACACCGTTTTTTTTGCCCAAATGTATAACTAATATAATATTATGTAAAGAAATGATAAGTTGTAGATTTCAAGCTCACACAGTGAAATATGGCAACAATCAGGAAATTAAACTATGTGGTCAGGAAGTTACATCACTTAAGCTGAATATCAACTTATAATATCCACTATTTTTATAAAATGTAAAGACAATTAAATTGATTATTGCTGATTACAAATTATACTGGTAATACAGTTCTTTTAAATTACCCCCCAATGGTCAGTTTTGTTCATCTCCTAACAAGAAACTGGTGAACGCAACGTGTTGTCTGACTCAATTCTGTCAATAAACAGTTTATCATGAAGCTAACCATTAAATCAGACATTGCGGAGGTTGAGCAGTTGAACACTGGTTTCTGTTAACATCAGCAAATTAGTGTGATGAGAAATCTGTTTAAATGTGAAGCAACTCCACTCTCACCTGTTTTAACCTCCCTTAAAAAAGATCAAATTCAGCTGATTAAAATTGCTCGACCCGTTAACCTCTCGGTCTCTGCTTCAATTCTTTCAGGACATAATGTTTGAGCTGCTTTGACATACTTTTATCTTTTCTGCTCCATTTAGCTGCCATTGTACTTTGTTGTCTTTCTTTGGCACATGTTTTGTTCATTTTAAATTGAACACTTAACTTGTACTTGGATTATTTTAGCTTCTGTTCTGCCTGTTTTACCCTTTATATAACAACTCAGTGTTTGCTTCTTCAGCAGATTTCTGCAAAGACATTCCCATATTCATGACTCTTTTTCCCAGTTAGTCATTACTTTATGCTTTCTGTGCATTACACCCCCCCCCCCCACACACACACACACGCACAGCAGACTTACGTCATAGTGTCTGGATTTTTTGATTTCTTTGACAGATGTGATCTGCTCTCCTTTAATCTGTGAGGGTTTGGTCTCTTTGGCAGTTTGGGTCTCAGGCTCAGTCTTGGACTTCTCCTCTGTTGGTTTTGTTTGTTTCTGGGTCTCGGTGGTTGGCACAGGTGTTACAGCTGGTGCTGTGGTCTTGGTGTCAGTCGACTGTTTGGCAGACGTGGGCGCAAATGGTCCACTAACACAAGTTCCCACCTGTGGTTTTTGTGTCTGGGGCTGGGCTGGTTTGGTGCCCTGCTGAGCGGCGGCGGGCTTGTGAAGAGGACTCTGCTGGCCGGTTGGGGCCTGGTGACGAGGCGAGCCCATCGGTTGGTGTTTAGGAGACGGATGAGGAACGGGAAGAGGAGGCTCGTCGAGACCGCCTCCAGACATCAGCCGCTGTGTCTGGCAGTTGAGACACAACCACTCTTTTTTCTGGAACAAAAAGAGGAGAAAGGACAGAACAACAAGTGATTAACAGCTTGTTTTCCACAAAAGTTTTGTTTTGTTTTCAAATACAGCATGGGTCAGGATGGGCAGCTGGTGGGTGAACTGTTTTTCCAGCATGCTATTCAAAAACACTCAAAGCAGCTCTTAGAATCTAAAAGCTGTTTTATATATTTTGTTTTCTAGGAGCTTAAAAAAATCTAAGACAGTTTTAATACAAGTTGCCGCTATATACACCACGCAGCACAAGGCTAAATATGAGAGGTTTACTAAAGTCGCAAATATATAAACAACAGCAACTTTTAGTCTGAACCACGCAGGAATACATATTTTCACAAACATTTGTAAAATGGCTATTTTATTATGTTTGGGTAAGTGTGTAGCACTATATGGCCCTAGTGTCAACAAATAATGTGGCCCCTTCCATTTTTTAAGTTGCCCATCCCTGGCATATGGTATGATGACCTGTGCAGAATGTTCCCTGATTTGTGCACCAACCCCTCCACTACCCTGAAATGTTAAGCAAGTGTAGACAAATTATTAAAGGGGCAATATTATGTGTTTCTCAGACATATTTTTAAATTCTATACCGTAATAAAGTAACTATGTCGCCCTGTCCCGCCCATTTCAGCAAGGGGCCAGGTGTGTGTGTGCTCTGTGATGAGGAAGCTCAGGTTGGAGACACAGCCCAGAGGAGGAGTTGATCCCAAATGCGGTTCTAGACCCACCCGGTTGTTTTTGCCCCCCTGCCTGGCTGCCTCAGGACAGCACAGGATTTCTCAAACATACATGAACAAGTCAAAGCAATACTCTGGGTATGTTTTTGATGAGAGGATAACAATATAACATGATATAAAACTCAAAAAACTTGTTTTTACATGATATTGCACCTTTAAATTAATGAATGGAAGGATATGAATAAATATGGATGAATTGGATAAAACTGATTGCTTTTTGTATCATGCACCAAAAACACTTTTGTTATGGTGCTTTTCAAATAATCTTTATTAAATTAAATGCATTGAAATAAGGAGTGATTGACAACTCAACACCACGATTAACATTCTTAACAAGAAATGTGTCATTTGCGCTTACATAGTGGACTGCAGTGACAAGTGATTGTGCACACGCACACACACACACACACACACAGCACTCGTGGAAATCTTTTTTTCAAAACAGAGCTGTCAGATATGCAGCAGGCTGAACTGAACTGACACAAGTTTCTGAAAGGCCAAGTCAGTCTGACAGCTAAACCCCATTTTTATCACATCAACTTCATTCAGATGACTTCACACTGGAAGACTGACTGTGACGCTCATGCAGGATTGTAGCCGCATAATGTGTGTTTCAATTAAGCTCCTGGTGATTCAAACTGTGATGAGCAAATGGCCCAAATAATTAGGTGTTTAGAAACAACATAAAGCTGACATTTAGAGTTTCTGTGACCTCGCTAAATAACATTAAGTGTTTTTTTTTCCTGTTTGTAAATGAAATTCCTAAAACAGAAATACACAGAAGAGCTCTCTAAGTATGAGGATTGATTGTCGTGTTAGGTAAGCAGAAACTTCATCAATCAAACAGGGCTGAGCAGGTTGAAAACATGTTTTTGAAGCTTTTACGCACAAACAGAAAATCTGTTATTACTGCAACGAGGATTAGTGAAGGAAATAATTACACACCAATGTTCAGATTCACATAATAAGTTGTGGAAGGTGGAGTAAGCAGCTGCCAAAACAGAGAGTCAGCAGGCAAAAAAAGGCCAAATGAGAGCAAATGACCAAACAGATGGAAAAACCAAAGAGCAGAAACAGGTGAGCTTTATATAACAGATAATCTGGTCAAAAAAAGGTGTGTGTGTGGGGGGGGGGGGGGAGCTGACTGAGAGAATTTTTTCTTCTTTAACTTTTTTAACTTTGACTTTAAAGAGTCATCATTGACTGAATAGGGCCTCTTCGGGGGGCCAATCAGATTTCAGCAGGGGTGCTAGCAGGGATGCTATCACTGAATTGGCTCCAAACCAAAGCAACTGTGCCTCATATTGACACTTTGAAAGTGACTAAAGTGAAGCAAAAGATTTCCAAACAAACACATACAAAATGAAATAAATTTCATAAAAAAAACAGTTTGGTGATCCTAGAAAATGAAAAGGGAACGTTTAGGAACATTGGGCCTCATGCAAGAACATGTTCATATTCTTATACTAAATTTCTCTTACTCTTTTTTGTACGAAGGATTCGTACGAACATGTCACGTCAGATTCAACAAACTCTTCTTTCTTCAGGAAAAGTGTGTAAATGAGCTGCACAAATTCCACCTGTTCGTATCCAGCTGCTCGTGCATGCGAGAGGAGATTAGCATAATTACCACCCCAAAAACACCATATAAGGCTYTGTTTCCTGCCTCAGATACAAGGAAGTGTCCATTCATGAAAAATGACAGCGAAAACTAAAAAAGAAGAACTCCCCATGACCCGATCCCGGACAAGCCGGCTGGAAGGACAATTTATATTGTTAGTCTAAATTATTACATTTAAAATTATAACTCTAATTCAAGCAGAATAGCCTATTGTCAAGATAATTATAGAGTGTAATTTATTTTCAACTCAAAATATCTTCAAACTAACGAAATATAAAGTTATTAGTGAAGAAAACCTGTCCGGATAACAGCAGACTGACTGCTCATAAAATATACGACAGGTCTGGACCACTCGTKAATTTTGTTCGTATCTGAAAAGAATCTTAGAATACGAAAACATTGGTGAATGCCACAAATTCTCCTAAATCACTCATACGCACAACTTAAGAACAAATCTGTGAGTATGAACGGTTCTTGTATGAGGCCCAATATTTCTGTAGAGTTAACTTTCTTTTCTCACTCTCCTCTCCACTCATCACCATCATGTGTGTATTTTCTGTCTTTGTGTCAGCCTCTATCCAGGACAGCTGATGTTATTTGGGGCAGAAGAGAGGCTGAATTACTGATGTAATGAATAATTGATAGATGCAGCACTCTCTGTTCAACACTTATCAACCATCTCTACTGTTTTCCACCTGCTCATTCTGTCCTCCTTCTTGTTCCTCCTTTATTTTGCTGCTTCTCTGAATCCTGTTTGAGTCATCATCTCTGATTGGATGTTTTTCAAAAAGTCAAACTCTTAAAAGATTTGGGGCTTAATCTTACAATGCAGAGAGAATAAATAAAATAGTTTAGAACTTTTTAATGATGCATAAAACGAGCGCCAAAATATATCTGAACATGAAAGACTTGCTTTTCTTGTACATGAAGCTCTGTAATGGACACAACAAACTGAGAAATGACAAAATCTTGTAACCTATGCAATTAAACTTAAAAATTACAGCTTCAATTTAGATTTGAAAGGATCAAAAATGTTATTAACTTTTCAGATATTTCTGACTTACAGTCCAGTAGCTCAATACGGAAAAGATTTATTGTTGGCTCAGGTTTTAAAGTTTAAAAGAAGCAGTATGTACAGAGTCAAATACCACAACCAGTAATTTTTTTGTTGTTGTTTTAGAAAGAACAAAACAAAACTGAGTTTCTGTTGTCTGGATGATTCTGTGACGCAATATATCTTTTTGTCAAATATCAGAAAATTGCAGAAAAGATGGGAGCGTAGCAGCTTTTATTCTTTTCCTCAGAGCTGCAGCATCTTTGCACAACATCATAAAAATATATATTTTAGAGTGGGTAAATAAAAATGTTCTTTCAAAAGATGGAAGCACAGTTTTGTGACTGTATACCCCCCAAAGTGCCACATGCCTGTACAGCCTTGAAGACAGCTCAATTCTTTTTTTCAGCTTTGAAAAAAAAACTTTAGTTTACTTTGCTAGCAGAGACAACACAGAGAACACATTGAAGCCAACAGATAATGTGTGTGTGTTTGTGAATGGTCCCGCAGCGTACCCCAGCAGTGCCCACTTAACCCATAAAGCACAAACAATCTGGCCTTTTCTCCTCCAGTCAATAACACATACTAAAATGTTCCATCAGGGCTAATTCTCTTTGCAGAGCTGCTGCTTTTGTCATGATTTTTCTTTTCTCCCCCCCCACCAAACTGTTTTTGAGAAAAACACTGCATGTGCATTTGGAAAGGTTATTACTGCTGAATGTGTACGTGCTTGTTCGATAAACATCATCTGGTTTGGGTAAAGTAAACCATCTAAACTCATATCACAGGATGAGATAAGGGTGGTCAAAATAAAATATAATAAAAAAAAACAGGTGAATCATAGAGGTTTATTTCCCTCTTAACTCTTTGATTGATAAAAAAGATAAAGAAGAAGAAAACAGAAATTTTTTAATGTAAATTCTTGGTGTATATGAGATGTGCAGTGGTTGAAACAAAGCCTTGACTGGACTATTGTTAAAGTTATAGTACATAATATTTATATTATACTATAT